AAACTTGTCTTGTGTTTGCAGTCTTGTAGATGGGTCTGGATTCCGGCCCTTTCATGTTCTGCCTCTACCTTTCAGGTTGCAGAAGATGGTGCAGGAAGCCAAGGAGTTTGCCCGTGCACCGTTTCTTGAATATATATCTAGTGTTCTTGTTGTTATACTGTCATTTTCCTGTGCACGTGCAATCTGCCTGTGGGCCAGTCCAGGTGCGTGAAAATTTTGGCCTTGGAGCATCGTTACAAGTTGCTGAATGCTGAAAGGAAAGGCACCAAGCGCCCTCGTGAGAACGGGCCGGAGGGTGGGAATGGAGATGGCGAGCCAGCTCCGAAGGCCGGTGCGAAGAGCAAGGCTAAGGCCGCGGCCAAGAAGAAGAATGAGGAGTGAGGGCTTCTCACGAAGTTTTGGGTTTCGTGCACACCTTCCTACTTGAAACAGTGGGTGTAGTTTGCGTGCCACGCAGCGATATGGCTTAGGCTGTGCTTGCGGGAGTTGGATATGATGGTTGAAAGCAGCTGTTGCATACTGTTCTGAAAATTTGACAAGGAACCTGCAGGCACATGCCATGTTTGCGTGCCAATCCTTTACCAAGGGGACGTGGCCACACAATAATCGTTGTGTGCTGCCTTGAGCTTGCGATACCCATCTCTATCCGCAGCCCTGTGAAAAAAAAAGCGTCTCTAGCAAGTCTGAAAGTTTGCTTCTGCAAGGTTTCCTTGCATAATATTTTTAGTTTTTACCTTTGCGCATTTCCAGGTACTCCTGCAGCATCGGCGGCTTCTTCCAGCGCTGCCTGCGCTGCTGCTGCGGGTCCTAGAGCGCCTGCCTCTTCTTCCAGAGGCACTAGCGCCATAGCTAGCAGTTTGGCGCGCAGTATGGCACGAGGAGTAACTCGGTTGCAATTTTGACATGATATATATTCCAAGCCTTGCATCACTGCCTGCTTTTAGTCATGGACGGTTCTGCTGGATAAACAAATCTCGTTTTCAAGGTTGATCTTGACGGTCATGAGTATCTACAATGAAACGACTAAGAGTGATCACTACTGCAAATTATAATTTGTGCTATGCACCAAGAGAGGTTGTAGCAGACTTAGGAAGTCGGTAGCGACGTATTATATAATTATTACCTCATAACCATCTATCCTTAAATTTCACAGCACTGAACGCACAGGTTACACCCTGGCGTCCAGTCTAAAGCATTCGGTTTGGGCAAGGACTGCTTGGTAGAAAAGGCTGCGGTATTTTCTTACATTCCTAATACCTTACAAAATTGTGACTTGCTTTCATTGAGGCTCCTGCCATTCAATTGGCAGAGCACGCGCAAGCAATTCTGGCAGATGATGCTGCCTTGGGAGTGCGACGCAGTGACCCAGTGCTGCAACGCCTTGCTTCTGGAAGCTCGCATGCAGCAACTTGTTTGCAGTAGCGCATTTTTTGATCAAGCAAGTTAAGTCGTCTTCAGTCATGTGTTGGTTCGCGGATTTGCCTTGGTAAGGCCAGGGAAGCTTTCAAAGCCTTTGACCATTCTGGCTTGCGTGGGCCAATTGATGTCAGTGCTGGCCAGATTGGTGATGATGAGCGTTTCTGGGTTTTTATTACGATAGCCTTCGGGAAAAACATGTTATATTTTAGATGGTCTTATCTTATCATGTATTTCATGTTTGGTGAATCAACTGAGGTTACCCGTGGATCAAACTCACAGATATGGTGAAAGCCTTGAGCAAGCTCCGACGTGTGGACGTCTTGCTGCCATCTTCGGACTTGCAGCAGGCTCGCGCCATCCTATCAGAATATTGGCGAAGGTACCATCTCCAATACCCAAACTTTGAGCTGTTCGACTTGGAATTCACCCCTGAAGACTACACACTTTTGATCCCCATAAAGCTGCACGGCGACGAGGGGAGAAGCGCCTTGGTTGCACATGTGCTGTGAGTGCTTGAATCGATTTGCATCACATCGACTTTTTTCAGCTACCAAGGCAAAAAAAAGTCTCCCCTGATGTTGCTGAACTGGCAGCCGGTCCTTGGGCGAGGAACCACCAAGTCACAGAACCAAGCAGAAGAAAAACAGCAAGCAGCCCAAGGACTCAACATGCAGCTCGGCACTAATAATAGAAATATTTTTTGTTTGTGTTGTTTTCCTTGTCGGTTGTTTGTTGATTGAAGTCGCTGATACGGATGCACCTGTGGCCACAGGATGGGACACGTGCTGCAGACGCGCTTTCTTCTCTTTGCAGCCCTGAAGGAGACGTACTCCGAGAACCCTGAAGCGCTGGATGAGGCCATGGCCATGGTGGCGTCAGATCTCCATTGCGCCCTTCACACTGGCGTTCCGGTAGTGGTCAACGGACTACAGCTTCGCTTAAGATTCTGCGTCTGCTCGGTCAAAGGTGATTGGCCGTTTTTAATCGAAGCAGCCCACTTGGAACGTCACTTCCGGCGTGCACCAAAGCGTGGAGAGTCCAGCCTGGCTTCACCGGGCGTGTGCCATCTATGTCTTGGCGGCGTTTCTGGCATATCCTACACGGACTTTTCCACCTCCCCAGATTGGGAAAGAACCATGGACTCTGCTGCTGCCCAAGTTCCTTGGCATAGCGTCAGCCCCTGGCACAGTCTTCCTGCCATCAAGGACTTCCGTCCGTTTACGTTTCGGCCGGACTTGTTTCATGGATTTCACCTTGGTCATGGACGCTACTTTCTGTCTAGTGCCCTGGTGGTTCTTCAACAGTTGGAAGAAGGGGATGGAGTGGAGACGCGATTCCAGCAGCTGAGTCGCAAATGGCTGCAATACTGTCGATCAGTTCGAGTTCCTTGGCAGAACGTGTATCCTTTCACCTTCTTTGGTTTTTTTTTGCCTTTCTGCATGTGACTGGAATATTGTTTGCTATAGATGTTGCCCTTGCATGACGTGCCAGGAACGGCCGTACCTGCAAAAGATTTCTCGTGAATCTTTAGGCTTCATGAGCCATTTGGACTGGCCGGAAGGCAAGTGGCAAAAGGGTAGTACCACAACACTTTTGATGGCGCCTTGTCTGCAGATTCTTTTCACGCAGCTTCTGGTGGTGTGGAATTTGAATGTTTTGCATAATTTGCCCATAGCCTAGGAGTGGCTGGAGACTATGTTGACTGACGACTTTGTCACTGAAGCGGCTGAACGTGATGGCCGCGTGCCATTCATAGCCGTTGCTGTGCAGCTTGACGTACAGACTGGCTTGGTGTTTGAAATTCCGACAGCATGTCTTTTTTCATCTTGATCTTGTTGAGGCGACATATGAATGCTGCCTTCCGCATGCTTTATCGTGGCGGCGCTTGGTTGGATGCCAGTGAGGCTTCTGAGATAGCGCGCCACGGGCTGTTGCATTTGAGAGCTTTCAAGCATTTGGCAGCGTTGAGCTTGGGTCTTAAAGAGCCTCGTTTTCCGTTGCACGTTAAGGCACATATGTTGTGCCATGTGTTCAGGCTCTTGCAGCTTTCAAGCAGAAGATTGCAGTGGGTGGAGAACCCGCTGACGGATTCTTGCCAACAGGACGAGACCTTTGTCGGAGTCCTTGCACGGTTTTCGCGCAGAGTTTCACCGAAAACCACAGTGCATCGGACATACGATTTATACATCACCGCATTGACCCAGCAGCTCCGAGAGGAGTGAAAAAGGTGCCTCCATCGTGTTGCCCGCAGGGATTGGCAGGTTGACCAGGCCATTCTACCATGACCGGACTGATATGGATCATTTGTGAGAAAATATCAGACAATCATTGATAACAACACAACATGCATTAAGCACGTGTAATTGACAAACGATGGCATAAATCACAAGTGGTGTGAGAATCCGCTCGTGGAGCGAGAATTTGCGGAGAAATACTCAGAGTTGTGGGAATTCACGGAAATTGTTCGTTTTTGTCACTGGTGTGGGAATCCCTACTCCTTTGGCTTCGCTGGTTAATATATATATATATATTTATTCCAACTAAAAAGTTCTTTAATAAAAACACCATTTCATTCTTAATACCGACTTGGCTTCCGCTCTGAATTTCCAAACAATGTTTGGAGCACTCGGTCTTATTATTATTTCCTTTTTCGCTTGCTGGATATTATTTTGTCAAAGGTTTCAACCAACAGCTTTATTTGGTTGAATTTTCAGATGGACATCAAACCCCTAAATAAACTATCTGGGAATTCAACTCGCCAATAGAACCCCAAATGTAAAGTGAGGAGAATTCCAGGAAGCGAAAGCAGGATTTCAAACTTGGCAATGTCCATGGAATGGAGGCATTCTGTGGGACAAGTGTCGGAGTCCTACGGATGTTCCAAAGTTCTGGCAAAGGGATTCGGATGCGATCGCATGGTTGGAAATTATGTGGTGGTTGGCCTATTTGATCCCATCGGCTGAGATCGTCTGCAAGGATGTTTTCCGAACCTGCAATGTGACTGACATCGATTTCCATACCAAGTATCGCTGATAGTAGGCACAAGCGTTCCAGGAAAATGGATAATGGGTATGTCATGCTCCAAAGTTTGTTGCTGCCAGATTCAGCCCCTGTGTTATCGCTCAAGCTCTTCAGGCAAATAGGCATTCGGTGGGCTGGAAAAAATCTTGCAGTCACAAAAAGAAGTGCAATTTGGGCCAGTGTCTCAAAGGAAGAAATGGATCGCTGCATTTCGGGGTCCAGTTCCACCCCCAGATCTTTGAAATTTGAATGTGAATAAATTTCTGAAAACCACTAAGATTTGCCGGTGGCTGATGTCACAAAACCGCCAATTTCACAAGTAGTGCCGGAAGCACACGCGTCTGCCGCTGCAGTACCTGACCAATATTGTTTAGGTGTCAGTGGTTTCATGGGGGATAAACCTGATACCCATTGGATAAATTGCTGAACAATACGAAGACTGGCAGGAGAAAGTGTTCTCTTCGTTGAAGCGGGGTCTCGAATTCTAAGCCAAATGCGTTTATTCGAAAGGTGAACCTTTGCAAGGTCGCTCTTCTGCTGAATATTCTGGTGGCGGACAGCTAGCAAACGACCGCCAAGTGGCAATGCAGTGCCTTGTGGCCGAGATATGATGGTTAAGTTTTCATCCAAATGTGACGCAAAGGATCTCCAATCGCCATTGTCAATGCTGTAATGTGTTGCAGGAATTGAATAAAGATCATGGTACCGGTGATGAATCCAAATCCGCATATAAGGCCATAGCTGTGTAAGCCAAAGGGCCAAGCCAATCAGTTTTTCCAAATTCCGTTTGGATGTTCTGGAGCTTCTGCCAATGGAGCGCAAATAGCCCAAAAATTTTGTGAGCTTGGCCATGGGGATTTCAATAAAACCAGAACGAAAATGAATTTTCCAGCCGATCCATTGGATACTGAACGCCAGTTCACATTTTGACCATGAGACCGGAATGTTGGTGATTTGACACATCACACAAATCATCGTCGCAGAGAGGGGCATGCTGGTCATGGCCTGATAGAACAAGAAGTCATCAACGTACAATAGGGCAATATGGGCCCACCATATCAAAAAATGGAAGAATCTCAGCATCCAGCCGCCAAGTCTGGACCACCACGCAGCGGAGAAGGTGGCCCCGAAGGGGGCCACTCTGTAAAAGAAGAGCTGGCCCTGCAGTGTAAATCCCAGGAGTCCATGTTCTTCATCTCTGATGACAATCCTTTTGTGTGCCGCCTTAATGTCCAGTGAAAATGCCATATGGTCTCCTGAAAAATTACGCATGGGGAATGTGCGTAACACATCTTTTGCCGACGGCAGTGTGCTCCTCTCAGGGATGTGGCAGCGGCCATTAAGACCGCATATGGTGTTGTCGAGGACTAACCGGGGTGCTCGACCGTCAGAATGTGCTACCCCAAGTTTGCCCAGGGCCACCCCAAGGGGGTATTGTTGTTGTGCATCTTCCAAGGTGCCCTCAAAAGGAAAAACCCAGCCTTTGTCGATCTCTTGTTGAACCAGTTCACGGGTGAGGGCAATGTCATCCTCTGCACTTTGCCAATTTGTAAGGTGCGCTGATAATGGTGGTTCTTCATTGTCCTCTGAGTTGCTTAACGGAAAACAATGGCTCAGTGGGATGTCACGTTGAAAGCCTGTCCCAACCCCCTCAATAAGGGAAGGAAAAAGAGTGTTGTCCGGGTCTCGCATCAAGGTATTCAAGCAGTGCAGAATGTTCAAGCACATAGGCTGATGTGTTCGAACTTCCCAGTTTGGGGTAAGACCCGAAGCGATCAGAAATTGTTCCAGGTCTTGTCTGAAAGGAGCAAGAATCTCCTCTGTAAATGGGGGATTGGAGTGGTCGGCTGTAGAAAAATATTGAACCAACTGTTTATCCAATCGGGCTTCCAATATGCGTGTCATCCATTTCTTCCTCAAAGGACCAAAAACATCTGAAGCTGTTCGCGCACCGAGACTCCAGTCTGGGTTGGAATGCAAGCCGCCCCCGTCTTCCTGACCAAAAGGTGGTTGAAAAATATCTTTGCGTGGGGGGATTTGTTCAATTTCATCCCATTGAAAATCTCTGGATTGTTGGTTTACCAAAGGAGCAACCAGGTCTGCAAAAGCTTCGGCCAGTGCCGGTGGGTAGCATGCTGTTTGACGGCTAAGATATTCGCCTGATTCAGAACGTGTACCAACAAGGGATGTGTGACTTCCGTATGGGTGAGAGCATAAACAACCCAGTGAAGAAATTTGTTGCCAACTGCTTGCAAACATCCATTGTTTGTACCAACTCTTGCCGTATTCACATGCGGAAATGACTGTGCACCATGCAGAGATCAGGGTCAGAAAGGATTTGACGCGTTCCTCCAACCAACTCATGGCTGATGGAGGTTGCTCAAGGTGAGCATGTCCCCCCGCCTGAAAAATTAAAGTGAGGCATGTAATTGTTCGAAAAAGCATCATATAGGACTCTTGAACTTGTAAAAGTTCCATGCTGTTGAGGCCTGGCACGCCGTCCAAAGCTTCAGGTGTTCGAAGTGCTTTGGGGCCTGGACGATGTAGCTTCAGCCTAGAGTAGTGGGCGCAAGAAGGAGAAGCTGCGCCATAAGCCACCTGGCCAGATGAACAAATGCGCAAGAGTTGTTCATAACTCTGGTCATTCAGTAAGTCCATACGCTTGTCCAACAAGATGTCAAAGGACAGTACATTGCCATGTTTTGCCAAAATGGCAGAGCTCAAGGGGCGAGTTGCCCCCGAACATATATCTAGAAACAGCCTTGCATCGCCTTGGGTGAAATCAGGAAGCGAAGGTGATACTATGGTTGGTGATACTGGCGAAACTGGTGTGACCTCCAATGGCTGTTCCTCCAGGTTGGACTCCTTAGGAGTCTGGTCCAGTGAAACTGCTTCCTGCACGGTTTGGGTTGGCAGAACCATGGCAACTGTTGCATCAGGTTGCTCTAGTCAGTGGGTAGTGTTCTGGTGTTGGAGGGCTCCATGATCCAAACCACATGCCTGGCCATTAACCGGGTACGCACATTGGTGTTGGAATCTGCATGAGTCCCCTAAGGAACAATTTCCTGTCTGGTATCGCATGCAGAGCTGTTTCCACTGACCTTCCTTGGTTTTGACATCAGTCAGCCATTGTACTTTGCCTTTGCCTTTTGCCTTACCTTTGCCCTTGGAGGGCTTGCCTTTGCCCTTGCCTTTTGTCGAACTTGAGAAGCTGGATGTCGATGGCATGGATTGGACCTTCACAGGGCGAGGACGAAGTTGAAGTAGTCCTGGGAGATCATGTCTGATGTGTGTAAACTCATGCAAACAATTGTCCATGTCCCATCCACGCTCTGACATCAAGTCTGATATGGAGGCCCAGATCTGGCGGTCTGCTGCTTGGGCCTCTGTGGTGGAGGCACATCTCAACATAGTATCTGGATCGACCCTTTGAGTAAGAAAGCTCAAAAACTTGGCTGAGTAAGCTTTGAGGTTTGCTAAATGAGCGCCCCCACACATCGCAACCGCCATGTCGTGTACTGCCAACAAATTTCGTACAGCGTTAACGCCAAACCCAGCATTTGAGATGTCAATCGATGGAGGCTCGTCCACCAGCAAATGATGCAATGTGGCCACTTCCAACTTGGGCATTTTTGCCTGTCTCTGCGAAGTGATTTCATCTGATTTGGCCAAGGTCAGCCGGTACTACCATGGAATCCACGACCATTGTTTCTTTGCGAGCTGATGGTGTGTAAGACTCAGTAAACGAGTGCTTGGCATAGTATCATGGTTAACCAATTCCGATGGGTAACTCGCCAAAAACTTTGATTCCATCTGTTCAATCACCGCTGTATCCAACTTTGGGGGGAAGCTCTCCGCCCATGTGCCTGTTGATGCTGATGCGTCGGAAGAAGTCGTTCCACCGACGGGTGCTTGAACCGCAGTTGCCGGTTGAGTCACATCGTGACACATCCTAAATGCAGCCCGAAGGGAGGCTTTCTGAAGCAATGTAGGTTCCTCGTTGAAGAACTCCGGCCAAAGTTTATCAAACGCTTCTAAATCCAACGCAGAAAATGCAAAGGACTGGATTGTCCAACCCGCTTGTATCAGCTGGGATGCTGTAGCAGGATCAACGCCACACGCTGACATAACATCTTCCAAAGTTTTGGAAGTCATGACGCACGCTCCGACGCTGTCCAGGTGAACCCAGACTAAATGAGAAAGTTCATGTAAATAAATGTCTCATAAATTGACATCATGTGCAACGGAAATTAAGGTCCGGACTAAATTTTGGATATGGTCCTGACGTAGGTCGTGTGATGCCTGGCATCATATGGATTGGTTCTTTTGTGGTTTCTGCTTTTTTTTATTTTTTTTTTGAAATGGCTGCGGTCGGAACATATAAGTGAAGACTGAATTCAACAACATGTGGTGAACGCAAATGGGCATGTTGATTGCATTGAAATGATATGCTGACGCTCAGCTCCCTGCACGGGGTTGTCTGGATATTAAAACGCAGTGATCAACAAGCTGAAAAGGAAAGAGCGCAACCGCTTTTTTGACTTGTTCCATGCTGCCTGTTGCGAGTCAACTAATTTGGACAGCTTTCCAAATTTTCTTGCAACCTGCATGTTGGCAAAATGCCACTGGTGGTTGCAACTCTTCAAGAAACTCCGTTTCCGAATGTAACATCCTGGCGCACATGCAGCTTTCCAGTAATGGTTTCTATGGAACGGTCTGGATTCATTGTCATCTACTGTCGCCACCATCGCATGAGTGACTTTCCTGTGCTTTGCAAAAGTGGCTTCATCGGCCTGACAGGGGTCTGGCACCAAAGCTTTTTTGTTTGCGTTTGGCTCCAACTCTTCTGAACTGGAACTATCGCCCTGGCTGCTATCGCTGGAGGACTCAGTATCGGAGTCCAGTTGTTCAACCTCCAGGCAGGATTTCATGAGGATCTTCAGGTTTGGAAAAAGGAAGCCATTGAAACAAATAATCTGGTGCGGTCTTCTGGAACCGTTCCAAAGTGACAGTCGGTTCTGTCAGAGGAAATTGTCCTCCCCTGTGTTGGGCTGTCTTGGGACGCCAGCCTTTCTGTATCTCCATAATGATCGTCGATTGATATCGTAAGGAGCCCCAAACGCTGTCTCTTCCATACAAATTCAATGAATGCTTGGGGTCTTGGTGGTGACCCTGCAGTAATCGGTCTGAGTCGCTGACCAGGGATCCCAATTGCGGGCCAAAACTCAAAAGAGTGGCTTTCATGGAGTGGAGAGTATATGTTTGTTGTAAATGAGCCAGTGGATGTTGATCCTGAAACTTCTTCCATGGGGTCAACAGCATCGCACGAAAAATGCGTGTGGTCTCCGCGTAGTTCAGTGGCTCGAAAACCTGAAAAGTTCCATCTGGCTCCATGGATGGGATCAAGAAATCCACCTTGGATCGTTGTAATTGTAGTGATGTCATCACCTGGTCCCAAGTCTGCAAAAACTTAAATAACCATGTGTATGTCCCTTTGCTGCAAAGTCCTGCCGCTTGTGCACCGAAGGGGTGTCCTGCAGCCATTGTCTTGGATCGCCATACCAAGCCACGGAGTTCCTGAAAATTGAAGACCAATGAATCAATGTTCAAACGCTGTGCATCAGCGAAACGAAGACCTGCCCAGGTTATCAAAAGAAAGGCTCCAAGCATCATCACTTCGTATGTAGTGGAGGCCCCTTGTAGGATCCTACGCTCCCACCGAAAAATCACCCACAGGGGCAGAGGAGGTGCTTCTCGACGGTCTTTACTCAGCTTTGTTTTCAAGAAACTGTCCACCAGAGGAGAAAAACAAATCATCAAGTGGGAAACTCCTGCAATTTTATGCCACCAACGCAGTGCTTTGATTGTGAAATTTCCTGAACAAACGTCTCTGTCAGTCTCACATGACTTCGATAATCGCATGACTGTCAATACATCTGCAAGCTGAGATTCTGACAGGGTATGCATGTCCAGGCCAAGTTGTGCAGTGACCCGTGCAAACTTCTGGACCGCTTGTAAATATCGAAACGACGTAGTGGCAGCATAATTGTTCAGAAGTCTCTTGCGATGTTCATCAGCGTAGGGTGAGGAATTCAAGGACGTATACACTGCAGATGAATTGCCAAAAAGTTGCAATAAAGTGGTGAACAGTTCAACCAAAAAAGCATTGTCACTGGCCAGTTTCGATCTAGTCAATTGAATCGACGTTGAGCTCCGTACCAGCTGGGGCTGAGCAACTGCTGTCCGACCCTTATTCACTGGAGGGCGAGGCAACGCCTTTTCTGTACTGGGGCACAATGCAGGGACAACCATCTTGGGTTCCAAAGGTTCTGACAACATGGACGGCTGTGCACGCATGGTCAGACTGTCTGGGTGATACTCTGTGCGGTTGGTTCTGAGGTATGGGGAACCAACACATGAAACATGGTGAGACAGCGTACTGCGAATTGGTTGATACGCTGGTGCTGCTTTAGGCTCGGAATCTAAGAGTCCAGCCACGGTCAACCTGGGACCTACCTGAGTTGTTCTGGGCACCCCTATGACGGGAACCGGAGAAACCTGCCATCTAGCTTGGAGTCGAGGTTGGACTGAAAAATCCGGCCGACTCAGTGGACATGTCTTGGGTGTGGGTTGCATCAGCTGCACTGGTGTTGAATCACAAATGAGGTCCCAACCATCCTCAATCGGAAGATCCATCGTCAGCCACTGAAGGTGTCTCAATCACTCGAAAACGAACTGCACAACGAAAAATGCGATGTGAACACCAGCTGAAACGCCAAATATCCCGTGGCAATGTTCTTTCTTCTGAATGTTGATCGTACAAGAAGGAAACTATGAGTGTGCACAACTCTAATCTGAAATGGGATGCAAAAATTTCTGTCCACTCCGGGTTCCGACGACGCAAAGCCAGCATTGCAAGCCCGGGCTACACCGGGATGTGCCGCGGTCTTGTCAGTGACCGTGAAAAGTGAAAAACATGTTGCAAACAAGTCAACCCACACAGTGACCATGACAAGCAGAAAAAGTGAAGCTGTGGTTTGTTGAAGCACGTGTTCTGTTTGTTTTTTTAAGTTAAAACAGCATGAAAAACGCAAAACAAGATTGAAGTCCTTGAGCCAAAATGTTTCAGGGGAAACAAAGATCTGAAAGTACCCCCTAAAACATAAACGAAACAAGTACGTTAAACAAATGAAAAAAACATTGTACATAGCAAGATTTTGCAGTGTTTTTGGATGCCAGAGCATTGAAAACACTGCAAAAACAAGTGTCTTGGACTGACGTTATAGCAAAAAACGTGTAAATTACCGTATGCTTGACTGGAAACATTACAAAAACACTGTCAAAAGCAATGTTTTGGAAGGATTTACTGCCTTTATGGCAAAAAACGTGTAAATTACCGTCTGTTTGACTGGAAACATTGGAAAAACACTGTCAAAAACAATGTTTTGAAGGATTTCTATATATATGTTGGAGTTGGCTACGGGCATTGGAACATGGAAAAATTGAAGAAAACACTGTAAATAGCGGTATTTTCAACGGTTGGGGAGATAAGGGAATTGGAAGCATTGTCGAACATGATGTTTTCGACCGGTTTTATGGCGACAAAAGTGTAAAGTACCGTGCTTTGAAGGAAACCATTGCAAAAACATGGAAACACATTCAAAGAACACGGGATTTGGGGGACTATCTAGGCGTCGTTGTCTAGCTATTTGAAATTCCGCAGCTTGGAGAGCCTCCAAGGGAGGGAAAAGTGAAAATTCCATAGCTTGGGAAGCTGTCACGGCGGGGAAAAGTGAAAATTCCCTAGCTTGGGAAGCCCCCACGGGGGGGAAAAGTGAAAATTCCCTAGCTTGGGGAGCCCCCACGGGGGGGGAAAGTGAAAATTCTTAGCTTGGGAAGCTTCACGGGGGAAAAGTGAAAATTCCCTAGCTTGGGAAGCCCCCACGGGGGGGAAAAGCGAAAATTCCCTAGCTTGGGGAGCCCCCACGGGGGGGGAAAGTGAAAGTTCCACACCACCCTTAGCCCCTCTCAACCTGCGGTGTGGGCGGCCACCCCACGCGAAGCGGGGTGAATATGGTTTGCAGTGTGTTTGCCTGTGAAAGTTTTACGTGGCAGCAATGCTATGATTACAAATTTTAAACTGAAAATAGAACGACAAAACACAAACACCGGAGAATCGAAAATAGAACGATAAAGCACTGAAAATTGCGAATGTTGGGGTGGGACTTGTGGAAACACCTTTCGCGTAGAATAGGCCCACAGACGCGGTAAAATTCCAACCCAACGCCGCACATCAAATGCGAACGATGATGTTTGGAATTGTGCTGGGTCAACCAAACATGAACCAATTAAGTGCATGTTTTAACCCCAAGAAATCCTAAAATCTCAAAAAGTACATTCTTGCGAAAAGTGATCCTCAAAAAGGTTGTCGCCGAGGATTCATAGCAATGCCGAGGATTCCCGGCCGAAAATTTTATAATTTTTTCGAAAATTCTACAGCCGAACGTTTGTAGCATTGATACAGCTGTGCCGAAGATTCTACGGCGGAAGTTTATATAATAGTAGTGCTAGATGTTTTGTTTCAACATACCACGTCCCATCCCCACTGAGGCAGCCAACATCTATTTTTCCAAATTCAATGTTTGTGATGATTTACTGTTGTCGTTTTTCTGGCCTGGACATTCAACCGCAAAATTTCAAGCCCGTTTTTGGACGTTCTTGTTTTGTTTTGGGGTGGTGAACTAACGGGGTTACAAATGAACGATTTTCATTGCTAAAAAAATTGTCATCAAGAATGGGCTGCTCACGCTTTGCTCACGCTTGCTCACGTTTTGCTCACGCCCGCCGAGGTTCCTTTTGAGTCCTTTAGGTTCCTTTTGGGTCCTTACGAGGTTCTTTTTGGGTCCCTACGAAGAACTGCTCACGCTTTGCTCATGCTTTGCTCATGCTTTGCTCACGCTGCCTTTGATGAGGAAAACAAAAGCAAACCATGTCACACTTTTTTGGTTCGAGCCGTGTGCACCTAAGGCACACAGTTTTCAGCCTGCAGACTCCTTGAAACTGAATTTCAAATTTGAAATACCTGCGTAGGAACAAACCACGCACCACTCACAACCCTTTGCTGAAGCGAGGTTGCCACACCCCTGCCTCAGCCTGAGATATGTATCTATATATATATTTATTTATTTATATATGTATAAACATATGTGTGTCCAACGTTCCTTGTGAGCCCAAAGAACCCAGAAGTACATCTATAATATCATGGTATTATGACACGTTCCTTCTTAGCCCAAAGGACCCAAAAAGTACATCTATGAATGGTATTGCACAACGTTCCTTTTAGGCCCAAAGAACCCAAAAAGTACATAGTCCCAACTATGCTGAACATGTTCCTTTTGGTACCAGTTTCTACGAGATCTCATAGGACCTCAAAAAGTTGTCCCTTAGACTTGCTGGGAACCGTTCTGCCAAGAGTGTGAGTGCGCAGCACAAACTTGCACGAAAGGGGCCCAGCACAAACACCATGCAATGCACATGGCAGTGATGTGAAAAGTGACCCTTACTCACCTTCAGCTGCCCTCCCAGAAATGGGACCCAAAAAGCTTGGCATTTAGGCATTTAGGGTGTGACGAGTGTGGGCCCTCATAGTAATGAACTTCGGGATATAAACGATGCAAGAAACAAATAAGGAGCACAGGAAACAACAAGAACGCAAGGAAATAAAGCGAAGTGAGCGCAATAGTCCAAATAGAGCATGCATGGAAATACATCATGAATTCAGGGCAGCGAGCAAGGAACCGGAAGCGCTCCAGCAGCTCAATAAAGAGTTCTGGGAAATGAATATGGGACTCAAGGAAATAAAAGAGGCACCTGGGGACATAAATACGGGATTGATGGACATAAATCAGAAACCCCGGAAACAAAAAGACGTTCAGGGTCAAGAACTCTGGGAAACAAAAAGAGGTTCAGGGAAATAATAAAGCGACGAAAATAGCTCCAAAACCCGGATTCTTAGCAATGAAAACGTGTCACCCAATAGTAAAGGTCTTAGGGCTTTAGGGTGGCCTGTGAAGGGCGTGGCCGCCGTACCACAATTTTTTGCGCTGGTTCTCCCCCAACATCTTTGACTTATGCGGTCTGCATGGACATTCCTGCGCACAGTATTCTACAGCAGAACCCAAAAAGACACAAGTGTTGAAAATTGCTGCTGCTGCCAATCCGCCTTTACAGCGCATCCACCTCAGGTCTCAGTACCTCCAAGTTGAGGCCCATTTCTAGCCCTTCAAAACAGCTCATATTTTGGTCGCGTTCATTTGGGTCCCTGGTTTCAATTTTTTGGGGTCGGATTTCTTTCTTTTCGTTCGCGCCGCGCTTGTCATAATCAAGCCAAATTGTTCACAAAATGTGGCACCAAAAATGGGCCTGGCCCGCAGCCCCATTTTTGGAACCTATGGGGGCCATTTCTGTGGCCGTTCCGAAACAAGGTTCAATGGAATTGGGGGACCAAAATTGGATCCCCAAAAAACGCAAATTGATGACCCAAAATTGGTGCCAATTTTTGAGCCTCTCTTTTGACACCATTTGCTTACCGCGTGATGCTGTTGAAACATGGGAGGCCCACATGACGAGACCGTTTTTCCAACTTAAATCAAGCCCCATTTCCAGGCCCATGAAACCACGCAGAAGTCAAAGCCATATCCCAAATTGCGCCTCGTATTGTTCAATTGTTCAAAAAGCTCCGCTGCTGAACGCAGATGTGTGTGCGAGGGTGTTCTTGCGTCAATGTGATTTAATTATAAGGATGAGCGTCGTTTGGCGCTGGGAACCATTTGATGCAAGGTGAACTTGTATTTTGACGTCGCGCTTCATTTTGTATCGGATTCTTTGCATATGACACCTGCATGTTCATGGTGATCAGATTACCATGCACATATCTATGTATATGCTCTACTGTTCTGGTTGTGTATATTCTATTGTGTTGCCAATCGTTGTGTATAATCGGCAGAGTGCGATGGATGCGCTTGTCGGGAGTGTCATGTTCATTGTTCGACCCGATGGTGTGAGAGTTGCCAGTGACAATGGTATCTTTTAATTTTTTTTTTGTGGTCGGCGCCGTTGCCTTTCGCCGGGTCGCACTTGAGACTCCCGAGTGGACCAGCAGGGATTCGAACCACCACCGGCAGTCTGTCAGCGCTGACAAGACCAACGCCATACCAACTGAGCCATCGGGTCGCCTGACAATGGTATCTTTTAAAAGTCTGTCGCTAAAGACTTTTTCCTTTAAATGAAGCAATGTTTTCCCTCAATGCAGCAACTTTTGGAACTATGCCATCAGAATACTATTAGGGAGGTCAACAATGTCGAACACAGTGCCATCAGAACACTATTGGCGGACGCCTAATGCCGACACCGATCATCAAGGGCAGGAGGATCACCAAAGTCGAACAGAGTGATACCCCCAGCTGCGCGACACGCGCCAAGAGCGTACCGGCTGCTTTTTTTCCGTCCAACGCCTTCATGGCTTCCGCCAGGTCGTTCAACATGTTTGAGAGCATGTTGCAATTGGTATTAATTGATTAATTAAGTCATGCGTAGGCCGTTCCTGTAGAGTGGCCGCAAAAGTAAACTGGTGGAGGACCGATACATAGTCCTGTATGCTGTCACGATCATCCAGAACACAAAACGAAACAAAGCAAGCCAAACAC